CGTCATAACCAGACAATAACTGGGAGAGTCATAAAAAAATAACAAATAATAATAAAAATTTTTTAAATTAATGAAATTGAAAAAGAGAAAAATAACTTTAATGAAAAACTTTATATACTAACTATGGAATTTAAATAAAAATTGCTGACTAAAAAGAATGCCTAACATGAAGTAACAGTCAATTTATGATTTTATTGGGAAGTACATTCACCATTTCCTCTTGAGTAGTCGTCTTCATCATCTGAATCTATTTGGTTTTGTCTATAAGTATTTCCAGAAGATTGATTAGGACCAGAAGATGGAACAAGTGGACAAATAATATACTTGTCATCTTTCATTGGAAAAGTATTTCCAGAAGGAAGTACTTTCTTTAATACATCAAGAGAATTTTTAATTTCAGCATTGGTAGGGAATTTAATTTCAAAATAGATATATAAATCACCATGTTCTTCTGGATGATGTTTAATAGTAAAACCTTCACCAATTACACACATATAACTTTTTGGTTCAATAACATCTTTCCCTTCAATAAAAAGTTCTCTTCCGTCTAATGTCTTAACAATAAAAGCAACTCCAGTCAATGCTTCATTCAAAGTAATTGTTTTGCTCATAATTAAATCGCTTCCTTTTCGTTCAAATATTGGATGTTCTTTCGTTTTAATTACAAATATAACATCACCTGCGATTATCCCTGGAGCTTGGTCAGACTCTCCTGGAAAAACAATCTTTTCATTTTCATGACTACCTGGCTGAACAATAATTTCAAGTATTTTTTCTTCACTAACAACTTTATCTCCATGACACATTTTACATAAGTCTTTTTCATTAACAACAACTCCTTCTCCTTTACATTTTGGACAAACCTCTTGTCTCTGCATAATGCAAAATCCTTGTTGTATTTGAACAAATCTAAATCCTTTTCCTCTACATGTACCACAAATTTGGGCTTTATTCCCTGACTTAGTTCCATTTCCAGAACATGCCTTACAAATAATGTCATGTGTAATCTTTCTTTTGAAAGTTTTTCCATTATACAAATCTTCTAAAGTACAATTTAATGAGATTTGAATCGATTGACCTTTTCTTGGACCAGAAGATCTTCTTCCAAATCCACTAAACCCACCAAATCCACCAAAGAATTGTGACAAAATATCATCCATATCATATCTTTTCATTCCTCCTTTTTCAAGTCCTTCCTTTCCATACTTATCATATATTTCTCTCTTGTTATGGTCAGAAAGAACAGCATATGCTTCAGTAATTTCTTTAAATTTTTCTTCAGCACTTGTATTTCCTGGATTTTTATCTGGATGATATTTGATTGCCATTTTTCTGTATGCTTTTTTAATTTCTTCATCATTGGCTGTTGGTTTAATTCCAAGAGAGTCATAATAACCTGTTTCTCGCACTGACATTAATCTTCTTTCCCTTTTATTAAAGGGTTTTCTTTTTATGAGAGGGTTTTCTTTTATACTGTATGATCTACGTGGCTTTTTATGTTGAATTTTTAGTCAAAAATCAGTCTTTTCTTTAGTTCATTATACAAGATTTTTCTAATTCTGTTCTTTTCTTTTCTATTTTCTTTGAAACAAAAAAACAATACATCATTTAATTAATGACTTGAATAAATTGATAATATAATGAAAAGGGTTTACATTATAATTTTATTTTTTGCAGAGAGGTGATGATTTTAATTATGTTTGATACTTTAATTACTATAACGAAAGTCATTATTTTTATTACTATTAAAAACTGTGTATTAAAGAATAAAGAAAGCGAAGATAATTAAAAAAAAGTTAATGTTATTTAATGAAAAGGATAATAATATTATCAATAAATCTTAAAATTGTTTTAGTTATTTTTGATAAGATAATTTAAATAACGTTTAAAGGAATTTTTGTTAAAAACAAAAATGAAAGATTGTTAATTAAACTAATAACCAGATGTTAAATTATCACTTTGTTTAAAAAGAAAATTTAGAATTTCCTTGTAACAAACAACAAAATACAAAATAAAAAGAAAAGTTAAAAAAGATATGATTATGAACAAACATCATTTATTAAAAAAAAAGAATGATGTTAATTATTGAATTAGTAATAACAAAATATATCTAAGGTACCAAAATCGATTAGTTGAAATAAATATAATAAAGAATAGGTAATAAGTTTAAAAAATAGGTATTTAAAAGCATAAACCAATAATGAAGAATAAACAAAGTTTAATCATTAAATGATGGAATAAAAGTAAGTTTTTCAAAGATAGTTTGTTTTGTTTTGACTATGAATATTCTTTGAGAAATAAGATCTTTTGGAAAAATATTTTTTCCAAAGATAGCAATAAGAACACAAATATCATCTTCTGTTATTGCATCAAATAATGAAACTAAAAAAGTAGCTGCAATTCTCCAAGACATTTTAAAAGGAGGATTAATAACATCAATTGTTAGAATAACATCTTCTATATGACAATTAAAAATAAATTCTAAACAAGAAGAAACAATAGGAGATAATAAAGAATAATTTTCTAATAAAGAAGGAATATTGTGGTTTAATGCTAAAATAATTCCAATACATTGTATTTCAGTATCTATTTTAAATAAAGATCTATTCCAGTTAGGATGAAGTAATAATAAAGAGAAAAAAGCATAATTTATTAAAATTTGAATAGAAGATTGTTGTTTCTGCATTGTAACATAAAAAGATAATAATAATTTTTGTTGGTTGATATTAAAATGAGGTTGAAAGAAAATAAGGAATTTAATAAATTCTCTAATTTTTTCATCAGACTGAAGTATTGGTAATATTAATTGATTAAATGATACATTTCCGAATGAGTCAATTTGAAAAAAAGATGATTGGACACGTTTAATTAAAGACTCATTAATTGTTCCCCAATGAGAAGTAATAGGTAATTGACCCCAAGTTAATACACGTCTTGGTTGTTCTATTCCAATAGAAATAACATTATCATAATGAGATAATAACGAAAGAATAATTATTAAGTAGAATGGTTGTTTATTAGAAAGAAATCCAGTTAAAAGGTCATCACAAATTTTATTTAAATCAGAAGAAGGTATAGGTAATTGTCTTGCTAAAGTATTTAAAGAAGTAAGAACTTCAAGAATAGAATTTACAGGAGGAGTTCTATATTGCCAAAATGTTGTCATAAGTAATTGTTTTTCATTAAGAACAGAAATTAAAGTATTATTTTTATATATTGGTAATAAATAAATATAATGTAATAGTAAAGAAGTTAATTTTTGTTTTAAATGAAATAAAACAATATAAGGGATTTTTAATTTTTTAGTTAATGAATAATAACGACTATCAATTCTTGAATATAGTAGTGTAAATAATCGTTCAATATTATTATTTTCATCTTTTCTTTCTTTTAAAAGAATTTGTTTTTTTATTTGTATTTCATCTTCTTCAATTCGTTTTTCAGTACTTTCTTCTTTTTTATCTTCTGCAATTTCTTGAATAGAGGCAATAGAAGCACAAGATATAAAAGCAGTATCTCTAAGAAAAGGAATATCACTAATAAGTTGAGAGTAATTAGAAATAAAATTAGATAAAGAAAAAGAGGAATCATCTAAATCATTATATTTATTTCCAATAGACTGAGAGAATGAAGTAAAATAATCAAATAATAAATGATAATATCTTTGAGGAAAATTAGGAAAAGAGTCTTTAATAGAAGAATAAATTTTAGGACGAGAAGCAAAGAAAGCTAATTTTTCATAAACTTTCATTGACAAAGGTATTTTTAAATTAATTAAAAATATAAATAATTCTTTAGAACCTAGTTGAATGTTATTAATTAATTTGTCAATGTCATTTATTTTTTTACATACAACTTCATTATGTTTTGGTTGAATATCTTTTGACCAATTTGCTTCTTTCATTAAATTAATTAAAAATAAATATTTTTTATTATCTTTTATTCTATTAAATACTTCTAAATGATTTACAACTCCTGAAGAACATAAATAAACATTTTCAAATAATTTAGAAAAAGCAATTGTTCTATATGTTCTTGGAAATTGAACAATAATTGAAGCTTGTTGAATAAATATTTCTGTTAATTGAATTGGAATTAATGGTTTTAAAAAGAATAAATGAGTATTTCTACTTGAACGAATACTCCAATACATTGGCAATACACAATCAATAAATAATTTAATACTTTCATCTGAATATATTCCATGAATAAATGAATCTTTAAGAACACTCATTAATAATTCAAATGCCATATGAAAAGCAGTTAATAAATCAACATGACTCTGAATTTCTTTAATAAAAGAATTTTTATGTATAATAGACTTATCAGATTCAATTAATGTTACTATTTGGCGATAACCCATTTGAGCACCAATTAAAATATTTTGGTTTGAAGATAATATTTTTTGAATTAATTTATCATTAATTATTTGAGATAATTTAGAAATAATTTTACTAGTTGATTTATTTGATATAATAGAATGTAAAATAATACAGTAATGAGTAATTTGTAATAATGTTTGAAGATGAAATTGAGGATTTAAGGGTTTATTAATAATTATAAATTTTAGTGTTGTTAATTCTTCAATTAAAATAGTATACTTCAATGATTGATTTAAAGGAGGAAATATTACAAAAGAAGGAACATAAATATTAGGAAATAAAGTAGAAATATTGTCAAGATGAGAATTATCAAATTGTAATTGTTTTTGTAGATTTTGATATAATACCTCATAATCTGTATTTCCTGTAGTTAACGTTAATCTAATGCTTTCTCCAATTACTGGTGCTCCAATAGAATTACCAATTCTAACAAATAAATATCCATAATTTAATATACTACATCGAAGATTATAATCAATTGACTCATTATTAATAAGTTCTTCAATTAATAAAATAGACGTATCATTAATTTCTGCCCAAGCTCTTCTTTCACCAATGAACTCAATTTTAGTTTCTGGTAATATCCAATAATCCCATTGCATAAATAAAGATGAAATTGATTGAAATAAATTAAAATTAACTGAATAAATTGTTAATTGACTTTGTAATATTTCTCTTAATAATAATATTATTTCTAATGGACATATATCATGTAATACTCTTAAATAATTACAAAGTTCTATTACCTCCCATCCATTTAATCCAATAGACCTAACAATAGATGCAAGTGAAAGTATTATTTTTTGAGTTAATATTATTATTGGTGATTCTAAATTTCCAGAACGTAATTCAATTGAAACGAGATAATTTATTAATGAGTTTAAAAGTGGTGATTTTATTTCTTCTAAATGTTTTTTTTGAACGGCTAATTGAGTAGAGTTCATTTGAATTCCAAGAACTTCAACAATACAACGAAGTAAATTTTTAACAAATAAATAACATTTAATTCTTGAAGAAGAAATAACTTTTTGTTGACTTCTTGTAACGCATTGAACAATTTCACAAAAGGCAATTAGTCCATTTACAATAGAAAGATTTCCAATTTTGCCATACATACTTAATGATGTATTTAATAAATTTAATCCATCATCTAATGTAATTCTTAATAATCTTTCTGAAATATTTTCTAATGGATTTGGTAGTCTTGATAATACAAATGGAATAACTGGTGTATGAGTTATTTTTTTTAATAAAATAGCAAATGTTTGAATTGAAGTTAAACGAAATAAAGGATGAATTTGAATAATTGTTTGAGAAAATAATTTAAGAAGAAATTCATTAAGAGAAGTATTTAAAATAGTAACACTTACTTCTGTAAACGTTTCATAAGCAATTTTTCTTACTACTTCATCAGGATCAACAATAAAACTAGAAATAACTCTTTCTAACATTAAACGTAAAGATAAAGTAGGTAATATTCTATGACAATTATCAAAACTAATACATTGTTTCCATTTAATTTTAGTACATTCTTTAAGATAACTACATTTAATTCTTGAATTCAAAGTCATTGGAAATGAAAGAAATGAATATATTACTTTCTTTAATAAAAGAATATTATTTAAATTACTTTCAATTAAATAATTAATTGATTCTCCTAACGAAATAAAAGCATTTTGTGAATTTTTATTATGTTGTGATTCAATAATAAATAATGAAACAAGAAATTCAATTCCTCCCCATTTTTTTAATTCATTTTCAAACCATAATTTTTCTTTTTCTGTATGTCCTGCACAAATGAGACAAGACAAAAAATGTAATTCTTCAGGTTTTCTAATATCAGAATTAATATTTAAATAAATATATGAATTAAATTCTTCCATTATATTATTATTTACTAAATGAATATAAATATTACAACGTGTTTTTATTAAAGAAGAAATTAATTTAATTAATGCATTAATTGTAATTTGATTTGATGAAGAAAATGAAAATCGTTTAATAATATTTTGAATAATATTTTCTAAATAAATATCTATTTGTTTATTTCTATCATCAACTTCAATTAAAATATATGACGTTAATAATTCTAATGAATCTGTTTTTGACTGAGCTATTCCAAATCCAATAAATGAAACAATTAATATTAATAATGAATAATTAAATGTTGTATATATTTTTGGTGTTTCTTTTAATAATTCTATAAAAAATAAAATAACACCATCAACATCTATTCCTTTAAAATTATATTCTTTTCCATATATTTCAATATTATTTAATATTTCAATAATTCCATTCATATATTCTTTTAAATAAATTGGTTCTATTATTGTATTTTTTATTATTGGTTCAATAATTATCATTGCTATTGTTAATGCATTTGTAAATTGTTTTCTATTATATCTTGAAATTACTCTGAAAAATTGTACAGCTGCTGATCTTTCTTGTGAACTTGTCATTGTTATCATTGACTCAAATGATACATTAAGCATAACACTATCAATTCCTGGTATTCCAATTGATAATTTATAAAGTTCTGAAAGTGAATTTGCTACAAGAATAAGAAATTCAGAATTTTTTCTAACTTTAAAGCATTGAATAATACTTTCCCATAAATGGATTAATGAGATTGAATCTTCACTTGTTGGAGTGTTTTTTAACAAAATGATTAATATTTTAATTGATAACAAAAATGATCGTTGATTTTTTGATGATGACTTTTCAATTAATTTAATTATCTCTTGTATAAAAAATTTTCTTAACCATTTGATTTGTAATTGGACATTACTATTTGTTTTATCATTCTTTTTTGATATAAATGTAAATACTATTGATGATAATGTATTATAATAATTTAATGAATAATTGGTATCACTCGCTTGAATTATATTTTTCAGATGAACAAAACTTTCCATTCCATCTCCTCTTTTTATTGCTAATAAACATTCATTTTTTTCTTGACTTAACCATTCATTAGTAATACATGTCATTCTTTTATTTTTTTTTAGTTTTTTTATTTCTCTTTTTTTTGCTTGAAATAACAAAAATAATAATATAACAAAAAAATTATATCTTTTTTTAATTCTTTAAAAACTCTTAACAAAAATCTTGTTATTTAAAATGTTGGTCGTGCAAGTAATAAAGTGGCATGATCTAATTTACCACTAAACACATTTGGTACTGCATTATTTGGGTGATCCTCCATATATTTTTTTCTATCAACAATAACTCCAATAATTGCATCCATCATCATTTTATGAAATTGGTGAACACTTACGGCATGTGAAGCAACTTCAGAAATAAATTTTAATGAATAATTTCTGTTAATTTCTTCTATTTGTTCTTTCTTTAATTTAAACCATTTAATATCTCCTAGTTCTGGTTGAATTTCATTAGGACTAAATCCTCTTGTTTGTGGTTCAAGATTATCATGAATTCCATCTGAACAAACCATAATAATATCATTCCATTTTAGAATTTTATGATAAACCATTGCATTTCTAATATCCATTCTTTTATTTGTTCCTTGAATACCAATTCTTCCTCCTGGGTCATTTGATCCAATAGCATGTAATCGACTTCCATAAGTTAAATCTTCGGTTGTCCATACATTTTGTTCATTCTTTATAAAAAATGTTTTACAATCACCAACACTTAATCCAATTAATTGGTACTTCTCTAAAACTTTACTTTTTAGTGTTATACTTTTAAAATACTCTTTTACTTCTTGTTGTACTTTTGATCCTTCTTGATGAATATCTTCAAATTGAGTAGAATTTATTCCTTTTTTCTTTAATTCTTCATTGTCAATAATTGGTACTATAACTCCACAACATGTTGTACATGTTCCTCCAATTTTTCCTTCTGGTACTTCAAGTTGAATAATTGTTTGATGTGCTAAAGCTAACCCAGTTCTACATAATTCTTGAATTTCTTCTGTTGTTCTTAATACATTCTTTTCTAACTCATTCTTCATAAATAATACAAATGTTGCTGATGCCACTCTAGCAGCATAACTAGGTTCTACTCCCCACCCACATCCATCATTAACAGAATAAATAAAAAAATTACGACATCTATAAAATCCATATGCATCAGCAACAGGATCACCATCTCTATGTTTTACTCCATCTTTTTCAAGGATAGGATAATTAGAAATAGTTTGTATTGTGAAACCTTTACAGACACGAACTTCATCATTAAAATTATAGAAATCTAAGATTGAATCTGTGTAATCAAGTTTTGACATGATACGATTCTCAAACCCTTCTTTTACAGGAATGCTATGAACTTGTTTTATAAACTCAGTATTAACTTTATTGAATTGGTTGTTAAATGGTGGTGGTATATCACCATACTACAAATTTAATCTTTTAGGTCTTTCATGTTTCTGTCTATTAACCACTTATTAGTTTAACAAACAGGAATAGTTTTGATAAGTTTCTCAATTGCTTCCATTCTTCTTTACACTTTTTTCAGATTGTTAAGTTTTTACAACTTTATTGTTTTGAACAAAAAAAATGGTTTTTCTTTTTTTTGTTAAAATGATTTATAAAAAATGCCATTTATAACATTTATTTAAATATTTTTAATTAATACAAAGCATCAAATTTATTCATCAGTTAACTTACTTAAACACTATATACATTTAACTCACATCACTTTAAAAATAAATAGCACCCAACAACTATTAATTTTTTTTTTACTTCAGTTGTATGTGTGAAATAATAAAACTTTCAAATATAATATGTTATATCAGTAAAAAATGTACCAAAAAAAAATTAGTCATATTGTTTTAACTAATAAGTCACAGAGTTATAAAAAGAAATAATCCAATAAAAACAAAGAATCTTAAATGAAAAGAATGAAAAAAGAGAATTAGAGAAATAATTATCTTTAAAAGAGAATTAACATTAATTTTTGTGAAGTTATTTCATAAATGAGATATAGATAATTACAAATTAAAATGAAAAGAAGATATAAATAACTAACATGTTAAAATTAGTAAAGAAAATTTGATGTTTTTTATTTATTTTCTATTTGTCAAATGGATTTCAGAAGTTTATAAAATGTTTATACTTCATTTTAAAAAAAGAAAATATTAAAATATAAAACTACAAAATAATTTAAATGACTTTGGAAACTATCAACACAACAGAAGTAGATACTTCAAACTATAAGATGTGGATTGAATTAGCTTCAGCACCTGAAGATTTTAATATGGTAGTAGTTTGTTATATAAAACATTTAAGAGATAAAATAACAAAAAAATTGAAAAATAGGATAAAACAACATTAACTCAAATGGTTCATTGTTTTCAACAAACGATGAACCAAGAAATTAAACGTCATTTTGAAGAAGAATTTATAAAACGTCAACCAATGATTGATAAGGCATTTACAGAAAAATATAATAACATTAAACAAGAACCATCTTCGATTAAAGAAGAACTTCAACAAGAAAAAACCAAATATTCTGAATTAACTAAAGCATTTAGTGAACTTCTTCGAGACCAAGAAAATTTAAAAAATCATTTAGAAACATTACAAAATAAAATTAATCTTTTAGACCAACAAATTCAAGCCACTCAAATTCAACAACAACAATTAGCTAATAAATTTAATCTTAAAATCACTACTATAGATAAAGAAAAAATAAGAAAAGAAAATGAACTTAATCGTATTATGTCTTCTCATGACCAAATGGTAGAAGAATTTAATAAACTTCAAATAGCTCATCATAAATACAAAGCTGCTTTACTTAAAGCCCAAACTGAAATTAATGCTTTAAAAACTGTTTTGGGAAAATAACAATAAATAAATTTTAAATGTTATTGTCCTTTTGAAATAATAAAATTTTATGTTTTTTTTGTTTTTATATTATAGTTTTTTTAATGAAAAAATTATTTAATGATTAAGATTGAAATTCTTTTATCTTTTTTGATTTTGTCATAAACGAATAACTTAACTTATCATTCTTTTTTACTTATCATCCTGAATAAACAAACCTATCTTAGAATGTACCTTAAGCATATTCCATTTATTACTATAAACTATTCTTAAAAGTAATTATCTATTATTTTTAAATGAAATAAATCTTATAATATTTATTTCAACATAAACAAATTATAAAACGATGTCTAAGGTTTATTCTTTTAAAATGAAAAAAGTGTGATGTATCTTCTTAAATAATAAAAACATTAAATAAATAAGAAAAGTTAAACTTTGCTTTTGTAATTTATTGATGTCATTTTTAATAATATCAATTACTTTTTAATATTCATTTTGGAATTTAGATAAATTTGCTCTATATTAGGTGAAAAATTTTTTATTTTCTCCTGAGAAGAAAATTTATGAAAATTTGAAGAAAAAAAAAGAAGAAAACCCTAAAAGGAAAACTTAAAAAATAACAAGATTTGATGAGTTGCGAAAAGAAACCAATACCAGTTGTTGGTGAAAGAAATATTCTTATTACTAGTGCATTACCATATTGTAATAACGTACCTCATCTTGGTACATTAATTGGTTGCGTTTTGTCTGCTGATGTTTATGCAAGATATTGTAGAATGAGAGGATACAACACGTTGTATGTTTGTGGAACTGATGAATATGGAACAACAACAGAACAAAAAGCATTGTTAGAACATTGTACACCACAAGAAATTTGTAATAAGTATTATACCCTTCATAAAGAGGTATATGACTGGTTTGACATTTCATTTAATTACTTTGGAAGAACATCAACTGAGAAACAAACTGAAATTACACAAGACATTTTTAAACATTTAAATGACAATGGTTATATTTATAAAGATTCAGTAGAACAATTTTATTGTGAAAAGTGTGATAAATTTTTAGCTGATAGATTTGTTGAAGGAGTATGTCCATTTTGTAATGCCCCTGGTGCTCGTGGAGACCAATGTGATAGTTGCCAAAAATTAATTAATACTGTTGAATTAATTAATCCACAATGTAAAGTCTGTCACTCTGTTCCAGTAAGAAGAAGTTCAGAACATCTTTTTATTGACCTTCCAAAACTTCAAGATAAATTAGGAAATTGGGCAAATGAAACAATGAGTAAATATGAATGGCCAAATAACTGTGCATGTGCTACAAAAACATGGTTAAATAATTTAAAAGGAAGATGTATCACAAGAGATCTTAAATGGGGAACTAAAGTGCCATTAGAAGGGTTTGAAAATAAAGTGTTTTATGTTTGGTTTGATGCACCAATTGGATATCTTTCTATTACTGCTAATTACACTGATGATTGGAAGAAATGGTGGATGGATAATGAACATGTAGAATTAACACAATTCCTTGGAAAAGATAATATTGTATTCCACAGTGTTTTATTCCCATCAACACTTCTTGGAACTGGAGAACCATGGACTATGGTAAGAAAACTTGCAACTACTGAATATTTGAATTATGAAGATTGTAAATTCTCAAAGTCAAATGGAACAGGAGTATTTGGAGATGATGCCATGAAAACTGGAATCCCACCAGAAGTATGGAGATATTATCTTCTCATTAATCGACCAGAACAATCTGACACAGTATTCTTATGGAATGATCTTATGGAGAAAAATAATAATGAGTTATTAAAGAATATTGGAAATCTTGCTCAAAGAACATTAACATTTGCTGTAAAGAATTTTGATAATAAAATACCAAAGAAGATCACTAAAATTACAGAAGTTGAATTAAATTGTGAAAAAGAAATTAAAGAATTATATAAAGAATATCTTAGTGCAATGGAAAATGTTAAATTAAAAGAAGGACTAAAAATTGCTATGGCTATTTCATCTGTTGGTAATAAATATCTTCAAGACACTGCTGCATGGAAAACAATTAAAAGTGATAAAGAACGAGCTGCTGATGAAATTTATTATGCATTGAATATCCTTTATTTTGTCTCACTTGTACTTGATCCATATATACCAGAATTTGGTAAAAAGGTTAGAGAACAAATGAATTTACCAGCTATTCCATTACCAAATGATTTTGGACTTCTTCTTGAAGGAGAAACTATGTTAGGAAAAGTCGAAGTTATCTTCAAAATGATTTCAAAAGAACAGATTGAAGAATTAAGAGCAAAGTTTAGTGGAAAACAAGGAGTTCCAAGCACTACCGCAACAACAACTAAAAGTAAAGCTAAAGGAAATGGAAAACAGAATAATGTCAAAGAAGTTCTTGATGGATTCCAATTAGAA